TTCTCTTGTTCAAAGAGACTTGCAGGTAATCTTTTCAGGTGTTCACTCATGCCCAAACACCACAGATGTGACTGGGGGATACATGATCAGAATACAACAGATTAAATATCTGGGAGGTGTTAAGCTTAAGGGAGGCTTAGATAATGTTCTTGGAATCACAGAGGCTTCCTACTTTAAAACAAAACAAAACAATCCACAAAAAATAACCATCAAAAAAACAAACTGAGAAAAACACAGCAGTAGTAGTTCTGGTCTGGTTGCAACTGGATGGATTGCAAGAGAAAAAAGCAATTCTTAGTAATCTCAAGTATTGTTAAACACTGCAAGTTTTCACTGGTTTTGATAGGCACTTAGGGTATTTTGGGAGGAAGGTGGTTGGCTGTTGAGGAGAAAGTTCCTTGTTAGGTTTCTTGTGGGTCTTTGCATTTCTCCATTTAACTTGTCCAGTTTTTACATCTTTGTTTTAAATATTTTTTAAAAGTTGGGAACAAAAACTTTTCTTACTCTTTATTTTAGAAGCCTGGCTTATTGGCTCATTGCTTTAATGCTTATTGCTTTGTCTGTATCCTGAAGCAGATGGTATTGTGTGCCTCTCCTCAACACCCCTCCAATTGTCCTGTGTGAAGATTTTTTTTTTTTAAACTTTGATCTGAACTGCTTAAATAATCTTTGTGCTGCTTATTTGCATCACAGTTTCCTTCAGTTTGTCACTTAAGATACAAGTGAAATTCCTCACTTTGCTCATTTAAGATCTTGTTTGTTTTGGTTTTTTAACCTTGATTGTTAATTATAAGTTTGTCTTGTAAAGAATCTGAAAGTGTAATTGCTGTTACCTCTGCTTTTTCATTATTTTAAATGGAGGATATACCTAAGTTTACACCTGTCACACTTAACACTTCATGAAGGAAAGAGAAAGATACCTCTCAGAATTATACATTCTCCGTGTTTGCACAGCAATGTTTTCTGCATGTGGCAGGTTATGAGAAGCCCATCTGTATTGGCTGAACTTTCCTCTTGCTTTTGACATCATTAAGCATTTTACATTTGGTATATGTCTAACTGATGTTTCTGGAACCAAATATAGTCCTTTTTCCACTAGCTGTTCTGTATTTCATATCTTCCTCTGTCTCTTTCTTTTATCATAACTTACCTACTCCCTATTTCAGGAATGTTTGTAACTCACTTTTTTGTAACAAGCAGTACAGGCTGTCTTTGCTACATCTAATGTCATAACGTTGATCACACTTGGAATAGGTGCTGTATGAAGCTGTTTGTCTTGATATGTTTCTCACTTCTTGACCAGCTTCTGTTTTAGTTCTTTCACAATGTTTGTTTTTAACTGGCAATCCATATGGTTTTTGAGTTCTCTAGGGAAAAATGACAGAGCTCAACAAAGTGTCTTCCATTCTAATGTTAAGATAATTACTGTACTGGCCTTAAGTTAGCCAGTCTAAGAACTTATATTACCCAGCTAAGAGTTCATTTTTTCAGGAGGTATTTGCAAAGCCTTAGCTGCTGTGCATAACCACAGGTTTCCAAACTGAGCTTAATCTACATATACAAGCTATTCCAGTGGGTGTCCAGAGTAGATCATAGAATCATAGGATGGTTTGGGTTTGAAGGGTCCTTTAAAGACCATCTAGGCCAACCCCCCTGCCATGTCTTTCACTAGATTAGGTTGCCCAAAGCCATGTCCAACCTGGCCTTGAACAATTCCAGGGAGGGGGCATCCACAACTTCCCTGGGCAACCTGTGCCAGTGTCTCACCACCCTCACTGTAAAATATTTCATCCTTATATCCAGTCTAAATCTACCCTCTTTCAGTTCAAAGCATTGTCCCTTGTCTTGTCACTACAGACTTTAGTCTACAAAATCTTTATTTATCTTTTTTTTAAAAACTCCCTTTATATACTGAAAGGATGCAGTCAGGTCTCCCTGGAGCTTTCTCTTCTCCAAGCTGAGCAAGCCCGCCTCTCTCAGCCTTTCTTCACAGGAAAGGTGCTCCAGCTCTCTGATCATCTGTGTGGCCCTTCTCTGAACCCACTACAACAGGTCCATGTATTTCCTGTACTCACCAGAGCAGTGTAGAGGGGCAGAATCGCAGCCCTTGACCCGCTGGCTGTGCTTCTTTCTGTGCAGCCTGGCTGCCTTTCTGGGCTGCAAGAGCACATTCCCAGCTCATATTAATTTTTCATGCACCAATATCCCCAAGTCCTTTTCTGCAGAGCTGTTCTCAACCTATTTGTCCTCCAGTCTGCACCTATACTGAAGGTTGTCCCGACCCAAGTGCAGGACCTTGCATTTGGCCTTGCTGAACTTCATGACGTGCAGGTGACACTGCTGAGGTCTCAAGGTTAGATGTCACTGGAAATGGACCAGAAGGTGGTGAAGAAGTGATAAAATTGTAAACTTCACGCATGCCTCAGTAAAAGTGTTTCTGGAAATGTTTTATAAGACTTTATTAAAGAACCTTAAACTTACATCTTTGTGATTTGTATCATTTGCCTACTTCTTCCATAGCATACAGAATTAACATGCTGTTGATGATTTTTAAGAGACCATGGGGGGTTCCTTTCACTCTGCAGTGTTAGTTGCGTGTGCATATTTTTTCAGGGTTATGCAGAATGTGTTTAAAAGTTCAAGTGGTATAAAATGCTGTGTGAAGTAAACTTGCAGCCAGGACATCCATCCAACTTGTATTCTGTTTGTCTTAGGCCAGTATTATTCTGTATATATTTGAGAAGTCAGTAACTATATGAATGTAATATTAGCCCTTTGCTTGCATAGCATTAGGTCGTTGTTTGCTTCAAAATCAGTTGAGGAAACAAAGTTGTGACCATCTATCAAGTTCATTTTCTTCAGCATTTGGTCTAATGCTTTTTGTAGGCTTGCTGCCTGTGACTCGTCAAGAATTCACCAGCTGGGATTGTTGGATTACCTGCTGTCAGGTATTTGATAGTTTGGTGTACCTGAAGCATCTACAATGTAAGAATTCAGGAGAACTGCATATTGTGGCTGTTTCTAATATCTACTTGATATTAATCTGAATTTCCACTGAAGTGATGGTAGTTCTCTAGAATGAACCTGAAGGTGAGCAGATGTTTGTTTAGTTTACTCTTTACTAGGACTCTGTTTTCATACTAAGATGGTATTTTCACTGGATGGGCATCAGAGGTTCAGTAGGCTTCAGAGTCTGGCGAACCAGGGGACTCTGACAGGGACAGATGAAGTATTGTCATTTTCCATTGCAAGGAGTTTAATACTGCAAACTTGATTAAACCAGCTCCTGGCATTCAAAACACAGTAAGGTGTTAACAAACACCACTCTTTCATTCCCCAGGAATCAGACTCCATGATACCTGAAGCATAAGCTTCGATCATTGATCAAATTATGAAGCAGAGTAGTTCCTGTTCTGCTTCCTGCTCTTGGACCCAGTGTGAGCATTACAAGTACAGCTTCTATGCTTTTGTGTACCATAGGCTTGACTGGTAGGAGAATGTATTAGTGAATGGTGATTTATGTTTCTTTGAGGAACAGACAAACATCTGTGATTAAGCTGATACAGCTGAGGTGTTCAAACACTTAAGTAATTCATGTAATTCTGCAATTCTCTCAGCAGACATCTCTGAGACCCTGGAGATACGGCTTAGGTGCAGTTCTGTGGGCATTTTAAACCACCCTC